GATTACTAATCATTGGCGGACTTTAAATACTAATTAACCTCACGTTGGACCAACCTCATGCTGGTCCCTCACATATACAACATATTAGATATGTATAATAAAAAAAATTTATACAAGTTTTTAATAAAAGTTTAGCTATTCTATTTAAAGAATATAAATGACTACATATTTTATGCATCATGATCTGAAATGACAATATTATTTCGTAATGCCTGAAAGCGTAATCTGAAGATGATTAATAATTTTTATTCGCGTGTTTCTCTCTTCGTCTTTTTCTTTTTTTAAGGATATTGACATTTTATATTCGTTCTCTTCATAAACTCGCCAGCAATTTTATCATGGAAATGCTTCTATCGACATCCCCTGATTTAAAACCGTCTTTTATCGATAGAGATAACCAACTAGAAGAATCAGTGACTATTCCCCTAACAGTAGCGATGAAGATTTTTAAGAAAAAGCTTGAGAATCGATGTATTGAAATTAAACATAAAGATATTCCTTCCAATTTGGTTAAGAACGCGAAATCAGCTTGTGACAGATACAATTTTCTAGTTCATAATGATATTAAAGATAGTCAAGGAATTTGTGGAATTACTGGTCATTGGATCATTGGCAGTAATAAAGAATGGAGAAATGAATTAAACGAAATACAACAAAAAGAAATTCAAGAAAATACCTTAAAAATTCCTCAATATAAACCAGCAAAAAAAAAACAAAATAAATGGATACACCAAGGATCGTTAGAAAGTAAAGTTGAAAGACCCTTATTCGCTAAAAGGAAAGGTGAACAGGAAGTGGAACACGAGGAAGTCAAGAAGAAACAAAAAAACCAAATGTCATGGGCCGATGATGCTGAAATAGCCTTTGGAGATGTTGAACCACAGCAAGCCTTAAATTCCGATTCTATCTTGAAAGATTCTATCGATAACTTAAGCATTGGAAACGTTGAATCAAAAGAAAGCATTAAAAATGGCAAAGGAATGGAAGGGATGAATGACGAACAGGAAATTCGAGCACTCGACACAAAACTTAAAAAATTAAGCGCGGAAAATATGCAAATACGTGACACAGAGTTTGCAGATGACGATGACGAAGATATTCCAACGCCCGATATAGAGACGAGTGACAAAGATGTAGAGTTTGCAAAGATGAATGATGACGATGACGAAGAAGATATTCTTACGCTCGATATAGAGACGAGTGACAAAGATGTTCAAGCACCTGACGCAGGGCTTATCCTTAAAGGAAAAAATTATTCACAGGATAATGATGCGAATGCTACAACAGATTCTGAATTTTTACTTAAATATGCCAAAGTTATTTATAATGCACTCCTAGCTGAGCTTGAATCGCGACAATTGTTATATGAAATAGATGAAAAACCACGCGTGTCCGAATGTCCAACAGGACGAGAAAAGAAACGTGGTCAAAAAAGACGAAAGTACGAAAATAAGTTGGTATGACATTATGTTTTATTTAGTACATGTCACCGAGTAGATGCAAATTATTTATACTAATCATTTGATGATTCTACGTCAGTTGAGGCATTCCGTCTTGATAAAGAGCGAAGGATTGGCGGTTCGAAGAAATAACGTAAAGAAGCTGTGTAAGGTTATCATCGCATGGGGAGCGGTTGTGTGCGATGTTGAGAATTCGCCATTGTGTGATTGAATTGAATTGTAGCTTAATGTATTATGCTTAGTTTTATTATAAAATATTAAAGCTGTTAGTTTGCGTTATGGTCTTATTGATAACTTGATGTGTTTTTTTAGCGTTAGTGATCTAGAATCATAAACTATATAGTCAATTTTATTTCAATAAAAAATGTCGCGACACGTGACACAGCTATTCTGGCACAGATAAAATTGTGCAGGCGTAATAAAAACTCAGCTGTTTTATATTAAAAATGAATTACTGTAACTTTTACTTGTCGATTTTGCCGAGGCTAAGTTACGGCATTACTCCTAACTTAAAGATCGCGTGTATTATGTAATTCAGAACGGTGTGGAGTATATTCCGTCAGAGTAAGTACACACCAAGAATTGTTTCAGATTACGCTCCATAATTACGCCTGAGTATGTACACCAGATTAAACTTTACAGAATATTGTAAAAGATATAGTAACTAAAATAATTTTATTTCATGCTACAATATAAATTTATCAAACAAGTTATTTATATTTTTAATCCAGAGTAATTAATATTAATAGAAGCTTTGGAGTATAATCTCTTTTATAATAATCTAAATGGTGTAATAAATGATAGTGTTACTAGTGTTTCTATCCATTATCCGTTTACCCATTTATCCAAATCTGAATTTATTCGGATATCCGTTTTACTATTAATATCTTTTACAATTATCTGATTACCTGTCGGATTATCCGGATATCCGAGCGATTTGGATTATCCGGATAACGGATAATCGGATACGGATAAACGGATGACGGATTTATCCGGATTGGAACTCTAAGCTAACGCTAAAAGTAGATTTTCAAATTAGCGTAGTCAAAATAACGTGAGCATAGGATTATGGAATCTTCGATCGTTACATATCGACATAGAAGTCATGGATGGAATGTTTCTATATCATACTTAATAATATATTTTTATATAGATATGTGAATTTCTATATAAAATTTATTTATTTGTATACCGTTTCGCATATATATATTTACAGCTGTTATCATTATTCCTGGGACACCTTATGAAAAATTAACCGAATGATTATTCTGCCGATTCGATAAATTATTGATTTCGGCATGATTAATATAATGTTTATTATTTACGAAAATATTCTAAAGCTTGGTATGTACGAAGGTGCTAATCGATTTGTAAATTAAATTCACGTGAAACTACAAGGCTTCAAACGATCTCTACTTTCACGTCCTAACTAAAGCTAAAGTTACATTTCAAAATGTACCTCATACAAAGATCATTTTGGCTTTTCTTACATTAAAGTCAAGATATTTTGTACCATTCAGGTTTAGGTAGGTTAGTGGTGCCATAAAAATGTCGCGGTCATGTGATCTCGACCGTTTCCGACCCATTAATGTATTAAATTCGGACTATCAAATGAGTCGAAAACGGTCGACGACACGTCACCGCGAAATTTTTATGACACCACTAATCTACCTGATTTCCTTACAAGTGGCGGAAGTCATTCAACGCATTCATATCTTTGAAATTGGTTGAAAACTCCTTATTGAAGATCTGCTAACGCCTAAGTTGTTCGAATTTATAACTCTTCTAATTTTTTTCGACTACTGCTTCTAAAATATAATACTTAACTAAAGTTATATCGATATTGGTTATCTGATCATTATCGATTAATAATTGTCACTGCTGCACTATAAATAGAGGCCATTTAAAGCCTTACAAATCGATTAGCATCTACGTACGTACGTACGTACCTGGCTTCAGACCATCTTTGTAAATAATAACCGTTACATTGATCATACCGAAATCAATAACTTATCAAATCGGCAGAATAATCATTCGGTTAATTTTTCGCAAGGTGTCCCAGGAATAATGATAGCAGCTGTAATAAGAATTTACCTTTTTGCCGTTGGTATCTTTTGCTTACCGAAAATTTTTCTTTGTTATAATAAATAAATATAAATATCATTAAGTCACTCTTTTTAAAAATAAATATAACATGGGAATAATCATGATATTCGGAATCATTTTACAAAAATTGGTCCGGTTCTTACCCCATAAAGGGGTCGTCTAAAGCCGGGTAGTCACGTGACCTTGCGCCACAGTGGCGTGAGGCTGGTATTAGCCCTAAATGGCTTAAATGGCTAGTAATGTATGACGTAACTACCTGGCTTTAGACGACCCAGGTTTTTTGTGGCTTAGCTTTATGCAATTCTTTTAGTTGTAGTCGCTATGCGCCACCGCCACAGTGGCGTAACTACCTGGCTTTAGACGACCCCCATATAAATCCAAAATAACGCCCAGGGGTGTAATTTCAAATTTTGGCCTAAATTAAGCTTAATTCTGGCCAAAATCCAAAATAAAGCCCCTGGGCGTTATTTTGGATTTATACAGTACTATCGTAATAAGTTTCGGTTTATAGATTGTGTATTGTATTAATAAGGTCTGAGTTTATTAATAATAAATACCGCTTTTACCTTATATTACATGTCTATCTATTCTTTATGTGTACGAGATTATTTAATTTTTTTATATTTATGATCAGGGTTGTAAAATTACCGTAATTTACGGTAAGTTACTAAAACTTATAGTAAATTACCATTGTAAATTACCATGATAAAAAATTTTAATTGGCCAAGATTATACGTATGATCGGCCAAGATTATACATATGATCGACCAAAGATTATACATATGATTAGCCAAGATTTAATAGAAAAGTTGACTATACATATAAATTAATGCCAGCCAAAATTAAGCTTAACTCCGCAGTAATTTGGTAACTTACGGTAATTTACCAGTAACTTACTATCGGTAAGTTTACATTTACAACCCTGTTTATGATGGCCAACGGCAATGATCAAAATTTTAGGCAAAATTACTTGAATTTTGACTAGCGAAATCATTAAATGAAATATGTTTCTGGGCTAATTTTACCATTGCACAGGCCCAAACTTTAAAAAATGAATTTCACGTGTGACGCGTAGGATTTTTAGAAAACCTGCGATTTGCCCATCTCTACATATATGCATGCTCTCTCGTGGGTATTTCGGTAAAATTTACAGTAAATTTTATTGTTTATCTAACCAATGATCATTTTTCACGTTTTGTTCTGACACATGAAATTTATCAAAAATGATGATTTATTGGTAAATTCTCAAAGTCCAATTTATGATTGATTTATAGTTTAAAAAAAATCACTTGTTTTCTACCAATTGGATGAAAGTCTAAAGAATGAATATCTCATATGGTCTCTTTTTAGCTATGTATACATTCGGCATTAAAGTTTCATTGCTTTTTTTTTATCAAAGAATTCATTGCATATTCAATATAAATCCGAGAAGAACTCGTAAAGTAATCGTTTGAGGATTAATAAATTCTTGCCAAACGACATTGCTAGTATTGAAATCAAAACTACAGATCCCCACTGTAGGTGAATTTGAAATTGGATCTTTCTAGAAGGATATAATAATTAATAACAGAAAAATAAATAATATATAACGATCGATATCAGTATACTTACCTCAACTCCTGCATTAATCTATAACAATATTTTCCTATGAATATTCTGAGTTGAATTTTCCTTGAACGCAATTTGACAACAAAGTTCGGTGCAACTTGCAGAAATTCCTGTCGATCACTAATTGACAGAGCATCCCATCTACAATAATAAAAGAGAAATTAAAAAGTATTTGTGCATAATACACAATTAATATTACAATAAATAACATTTAAAGACCTGGTTCTAAGTACAACAGAAGCATCGGGTCCTAGAATATTACTGTCACGTAATTTATAGGCACCTTAGAAATATATACACTTGACTCATTAATATCAACCTCTTATTAAGACAAAATAAACTCAGAGTATATAAAAACTATCCCGATATTATCAACTCTCGTATATATCAACATAATTGCCCAATCCAAATGGGTTGATATTAACGTGGGTCAAGTGTATTAGCGACATAAAAAAGGACTGTCAACTTGATGTTCACATAGCATATCTGGGAACCACCATGGTGTCCAACTAAGTTCTCATTTGCATGACACCAAATAACAACATCTGCAATAATGTTTGATTCTGCTTCACCTAACATTCTTTATTCGTGAATTTAGTAACATTTCAACTCGATAAATCTAAGTAATGGGTTAGCAAATTAGATACCGGTTTTCGAAATAAACTGGACTTGGAGGCATTATTTAAGTTGACCTTGGATAAGGTTCATTCAATAAAAGGAATAAGGATTTGCTAATGCAGTTTTTTCAAAAAGAATGTGATCACAATCGGGAATAATTAGATATAAAGCCAGCTTTGTGGGCACTCTTAGGTTCGTTATTTAAGTTTCTTGACCAAAAATCTCTGAATTTATCTAAATTTAAGGATCAATCCAGACAGTCAGATTTCGGATTGAAACTTTCGAATTTATTCTGATATGTGACATCGATTGTTACAATGGCACAGTAATCATGTGAGCGTGACCTCCAAAGATCACAGGCACACGACTTATACACAATCTGCTTTATTGTTATATAGCTTATTTTTATTTAATGTTAATTTTCATATTTACATTGCTTATTATTCAATTCGCAACTTTGTTACACATTTTACAATATAGATATGAATGATGATTGCATTCGACATCTGTGCTTCCATCCTCTAATGATATGCCACTTTTTGAAATAATTTTGACTTTTTTATTTGTAATATAGTATGATTTTTTTCATAGTTATTATATTAGCAGAAAAAATATTATGAGTGCTGTAAGCGAAACCTGCAATTTCGATTTTTGCTAGCTCCGTTTTTCAG